GGGGATGCACATCATGCTCCCCCCGGCTACAGCACATCACCGGGCGCATACTTCCCTCAGTGGCGGACCAGTTATGCTCCTATGCAGTGTCAAGGCTCATTACCTCCGAAATTCAACTATGCAAACAGTGGGAACAATGGGAAAAATGTGTATAGATAAATACTAGTATACAAGGATTAGTCTATTTATACTACATATGTATGTATAAATTTATCATAGGTGCAGAAACTTTGGTTGACTATTTATCATAGTGGGGAATTGATTTCTCAAGGGGGTCTCGTTGGGGAGAACATTTTTGTGCTTTAGGAAAACAATGTTTAAATTTTTTTACGTAGGAATCACGGACTTTTATGCTTTTTACAATTTCTCTGATGGATTCTGTGTTAGTGGTCTTAGGATCACTAATTTCATCTTCGTTTTTCTTTTCGTCCGTTTTAAGTCTTTTTTTAAACTATTGTATTGATTCTCGAGTAAGGACCCTGTTCGGTCGGAAGTAAAAGTGTAAATAAGCCGCGTTATTCGCTAGAGACGTTGCTAAGTAACAGTGACGCATCGTGATGACGACGGTGTTCGTCCTAGTTTTTTGATTGGACAGAAAGAATCGGGAAGTTATCGGGAATTCTTCGTGATTTCCGCGAACGATCCTTGTTTCCTTTATGTCCCTGTTCATGTCGTTGAACTTTGAGGTAATTCACTTGTTTTCCCCTTTAAGTTTCGTTCGTTCATCCGTTGTTTGTCCTCTGCCTGGCATACTGGGGTTCTAGACTCAACTGCTCTTTTGCTGAAACAAAATGCAACGCTTTCACTCAGCTGCGCACACTGGCTCCCACTTTCAGAATGGAATGAAAGCTACTGAGCAGTACTTTCATGTGGTACTGTTTATTATGCTTTACAAGGTGATTCTAACTTCTAAGTCTGGATGAAACCTTAATATGTGACCATTCAAATGAAAGCTGTTGAGCTGTACTTTTATGTGGTACTGTTTATTATGCTGTGCAAGGTGATTCTAACTTGTAAATCTGTGGATGAAACCCTAGTGTGTGATCATTCATGTGGTCCAGCTTCTTTGAGACCTTGTTTTCGATTTCGAATTCGGTCAGTCTTTGAGAGTGAGACAATACGTTTTAAAATGTGTTGTTCTGGTTCTTCGCGCGTTGTAGCGCGTCCTGTTTAATTAATATCTCGAACCCTTTAATTCCAGGGATCAAAATGTTCAACTCGTTTCGTTTCTCGTTTCGTTTCATTTTCTTTTGATGTAACTTAGAGAAATTTGTGATACATGAAGATTTTAGTCTCTGGTCAACATCAATATTCAAATTCTCATTACTAGTCTTCATACATTTCCTATGGAGTTAGTTAGGAGAATTTGGTGATCAAGTATACTTAAATTTTGATGCTTATCATTCTTGGGGCTTAAAGGGTTTTAGATTTTGACGATATTGCAACTTGAGTTGAAAATTCACTATTTCTCCGTTATTGGCAAAACATGGGAAGACTGTAATCTTTTTTCAAGCAAAATCCTGGATCCTTCATTGTAAATATTATTGATAGAAAAACTGTTGTTTATTGAACACGTCAGAAATATACGCAGCGGCAAAACTTGTTTGTGCCTGACGAGAAAAGAAACGCTATTTTTATCAATAAAATCTTACATGTTGTATAAACTTGTAGTCCTTCTTAAGTTTTGTTTGGATGTAAGCCTAATCTCGGAGGGAATAGATGTATTTAGCTAACGTGTTTACATCGTTGTTGCCACCCAAAAGGCCACTTTCGAAATATTAAAATTCAGCTTTTTAGTGACGCCTAGAGGACACAAAAACAAAAGAAATGATTAAACACGGTCTTTCAATTTCCTTTGTTTGTGTCCTCTAGGCCTCACTGCCAAGCTCAGTTTTTATGAATCGAAAACGGTCTATTCAGATAACATGATGAGTCATTTGGAAGGTTACAATTGTGCAATTTGCCACACGCAACCGATTGCATGGGAGTATGTACAAGCTGAACAGTATTAGTTTTATCATTGTAATCTCCCAAACGAATCATCACATGAACTTGGCTGTCAACAAGGACGTAGATACGTTAGGC